AGCAATAACCTTACATTTACTTTTACACTTTGATCCAGGGCTGCTTCTGTTAACTATTTCTATGTATTATTAAAATAACAACAACAGAACAATCCATACCATACTGAAGACAGAAACTAAAGGAATGATTACAGGATGGCATGTCTATATTACTGAATGTTATTCTATCATTAAAACCATTTAAGAACATTTTTAATGGTACAGGAAATATTTGTAATCTAATGACAAGACTGTAAGACAAGATACAGTGTGATTTTAACTTTATAAAATGGAATCTTTACAAAGTGAGGATTAGGCTAAAATTAAAGTGCATTTTCTCTTGAATGCTTGATATAGATTCTTTGAGTCTTTCGATCTACATGTTTAAAATATTTCTGTTTTTATAATTATGTATAATTATGTATTTTTATAATATATGCAATATAAATACCTAAACAGTAATACTTTATATTTTTACTTTTATATTTAGGAAATAAATATTTTGGGGTTGTCTTTTTGATACAGGGCCTCCCTATGGCCCCAGCTGGCCTGGAACTCACTTTGTAGACCAGGATGGGCTTGAACTCACAAAGTTCCACCTGCCTCTGACTTCTGAGTGCTGGGACTAAAGGCATGTGCCACCATGCCCAGCTGAAATAAATATTTTAAAATAACAAATGCACAAATAATGAGAACTATTTAAAATTTTGCTGAGGCTTAGGAAAAATTTCATAGAAAACGTGAGGTGCTGAGACTGGGAAACGGTATTGCCTTATCAAGGAAGCAACAGGCATCCTGGTGACCACAATTGTATAGATAAGTCTCTACTGTAGTGCAATCAGGATCTGAGTTCATGCTGCACTAAACAGGCAAATGGAAGAAGGGGACATGGTGATCCAGGATGGGAAGTTACCACTGGCAGGACATGGCTACAAATGAGATTGATATAAATCCACAAAGAACAGAACCAGCAACTCTATACAAGAGAAAGATAAAACTGTCTTGGGGCTGCAGAGATTGCGCCACTGGTAAAGTGCTTAGCACATGGTAAGCACGAGGGCCTGAGCTCACTGAACCATTGTGAAGATGTAAGTGCAGATCCTGAACACCCATGTAAAAGACTGGCATGGCATGTGTCTGTAATCTCATTGCTGGGAAGGCAGAGACAGCTGGATTTCTGGAGCTTTCTGTCCAGTTTAGCCAAATCACATTGGTAAGCTCCATGTTCAGTGAGAGACCGTATTTTAAAAAATAAGGTGAATAACAACTATGGAAGACATCTGACATTGACCTTTTACCTCCAAACACAGACATGTACACACACACACACACACACACACACACACACACACACACACACACACACAGGATAGCTGAACAGATATAGAGAACACATGCATATAAATGGCCTAAATTAGAGCCGGGCATGGTGGTGCATGCCTTTAATCCCAGCATTTGGGAGGCAGAGGCTAGTTTCTGTGAGTTTGAGGCCAGCCTGGTCTCTATGGTGAGTTCCAGGTCAGCTGAAGCTACAGGGAGACCCTGTCTCAAAAACAAACAAACAAACAAAAAAAAAAGAAAGAGAAAACAAACAAACAACAAAGAAAACACAAATGGCCTAGATTAGAAAGCAAAGCAAGAGCCCCAAGTGCAGGTAAGTGTTAGGAAGACCACAGGGCCTTGTTTATCACATTTGCCTTGGAGCTTTCTCAGGCCAGAGATGTCCTAGTACACAGAGATACCCAGGAGTACAATGCAGCAAGGGACACAGAGATTGCTATTGTGGATGCCTCGAGTGTTGAGAGTGGATTCTAAGTGACTAAAGACCTGAGCTAGAGAACTCTGCTTCCTGTGGAACACAGAAGTCAGACAGCTGCTGTAACACAGCTGACACACACCGAGGGCAGAGTTCTAAGGTCAGACTTAGAGCAGTGTCCCAGGAGGAGAGGTGGGGTGATAATGTTATGACCTGACCTGAACAGAGCAGAGAACAGGAAATGATCCTGCCGGTTGGCACATTCTCCTTTCAGGCTGGGTATTGTCTCTTCTTCAAACTTTCCTCCCTGTGTTCAGAAAAGTCCTGGGCTGGTTAACTTTAACTGAACAGAAGGTATATATGCAAAAAAGAGTACTGGTGTAGGCTGTATCTCTACAGATGCTTCTCTTCCATCTATAATTCTTTTTGAGAACAGGCAAAAGTCGTAAAGAGACCATCTCCTACCCTTCCCCAGCACCTTTCTGCCCGCTCCTTTTATTTTATGTAGACATTACAGTCATTCTCAGCCACCTGTGCATAAAACTGTTTTTATAAAAATTCTCTTCCGAAAAAAAAATGTATGACTTCTTTGAGAACTTCATACAGTGTATTGTGACCCTATTTTCCTCTCCCCAACTCCTCTCAGGTCCACCCCTACCTACCCACCCAACATTTTGTTTCCCTTCCATTGAATCCAATATGTGCTGCCCAAATACTCTTGGGTATGGAATGTGCCCTGGATTGTGTTTGGCCTACCAGGGGCCACACCCTTAAAGAAAACTGACTCTTCCTCTCCTATCAGCTGTCAAATGTCAAGAGTTCCTCAGCTAGGGCTGGGGGTCCATGCACACATACCCCTCTACGAGGGGATTTTGTCCGGCTTTAAGCTTGAGTAAGACTTGCATATGCTGTCATAAAAGTATTAAGATGACACCAAATGACATTAAGACTGTTTAGCCCACTTAACTTTCCTCAGTTTCCCTCTTGTATATCGAAGCTTCCATTTCCTTGATCTTCCAGATATATATTTAACCCCTTATAGTTGCTCTTCCCCTCTAGCCAGTCTCCACATTTCTTCTGCTCACTTTTTATATTTATAGCAATTCACTGGTGATTTTATTCAATCTCAAACATTGCACACCTAGGACTGAACTCCTGATTGTCTACCCTAAACCTACCCCCAACCCCCACAGTCTTCATATCATCAAAACATGCTAATGCCATTCATTAGGCTAAAACCTGTAGAAGCGTCCTTGGTTACCCTTTCCCTCATACTTGACATCTAATCCTCCAGGAAATCCCACTGTCCCTTCCATTAAAATACAATTTTGTCCCTTGGTACTTGTTGGGGATTGGTTGTAGGTCCCCCACAAAAAGCAACTGTTGCAGATACTCAAGTCCTTCGCTTAAAATGGCAGAGTATATGCATATAACCTATCACACTTGCGTGTAGAATTTATATTGTCTCAAGAGTACTTATACTATCTAGTTCAGAGTAAATGTAATGAAAATAATTTATTTTATATTGTGTAGGGAAAGACAATAAGAAAATGTCTACACATGGTCAATACAGACACATTTTTTTTCCTACTAATTATGCACAAAGGTTGGTCGACTCCACAGACGCAGACATTCACTGATACTATGAACCAACTCTGATCAGGTCATATATGCTCTTTTCTGCCTCCACTTCTGCCATGGTCCAGGCCAGCATCACCTCCACCCTGAATCATCAGTCCTCTAGCAATTTCTCTGATTCTTCTCTTGTCCCTCTCCAGTGGGCTCCTCACACCGCAGCCAGACTGATGTTTTCATTGGCATGCTCAGTATCTTTCCATGGATTCTCATCTTACTTAGAAAGGCCAATTCTCATAAGGGCTATGAAGTGACCTCTGGCCTCACCTCTCCCCACTTCTGTCTTAGTTCCCTCTCTATTGGCCTCCCAAACCCACAAACTGCTTTAGCTAGGAATGCGCAAAGCCACTTAACAGGGTTTTCTTCCAATTCTGCATCTTCTCTGATGTCTTCCCTGAGCTCATCTTGAACTGGAGCATCCCATACTGTGTGCCTCCCTGACTGTCTGCTTCTGGGATTCTTGACTCGATTTCCTGCTATATTGTTATGTTTCATTAATTTCAACATTTATCATTCATATTGATTGTATCTCTCCCTTGAAAGTAAGGGTTTTGTTTGGCTCATTGCTGAATGCTCAGTGCTCAGGACAGTACCTCCCACAGTAAGCAGTCAGCAAGTATGTGAGAAAGGAATAAAGGAATCCTTTACTTTGAAGTGTGTTTTGGTGTCTTCGTCCCACCCATTTATGTCAGCCTGATCTTCTAGTAGTGGTTGTGCCCATATTTGTCCCCTTCCACTTTCTCTCCATCACTGACACCCATTCTACATACATTTTCTCTGTTCTTCATTATTGAACTCTACTTCTCCTTTGGCTTCTCGCTCCCATCCCAGGCCCTGTATGACTTGGGGCCTGATTCACTTGATTCTTCACTATTTCTTCTTTCCCTTTCTCAGCATCTGATCTGGCTCAGCCACATTCAGTTCATATCTTTATAGTTTTTTTTTTGTTGTTGTTGTTGTTTTGTTTTTGTTTTTGTCTTTTTGAGACACGGTCTCCCTGTAGCCCCAGCTGCCCTGAAACTCACTATGTTGACCAGGCTGGCCTTGAACTCATGAAGGTCTGCCTGCTTCTGCCTCCTGAGTGCTGGGACTAAAGGCGTGTGCCACCACACCCAGCACATCTTTATAGTTTTTAAACTTCTATTGTTCCCAAAGCAAAAGAAGATGCCATTTATTATGTCTAGTAAAATAGTTATGGATGTTGGCCACATATTATACAAGCTCATGTCAACAGGAAAACTAATTGTGCCATGAGGGGACAGATAGGAAAGGTGAGGATAAAACACACGATTCCTGGCCTCGGGGTAACTGTTTGGGTATGTTAACATCAGAGGTGAGGAGCCTTAGCACCTCCACTTAAGCTTAGTCTTCACAATTGCTCCAATTAGTAAAACAAAAATAAAATTTTAAATGAGCTTACATGACTATTAATGAAATATGAATGGTTATGTTATCACATGGTATAGTTTAGCAGTCTTTAGGAACATTCTTCTTTATATTCTTATCCAGTATCTCATCTAGTGATTCACAGTATTGATCTTGTTGTTCATATATCATGCTTACCAAAGTCTAAATGGCATATTCTACAAGTGATGGTGAGTAGGATAACATCATAGAGATGTATGCTTACCTGGTTATGAATGTCCTCTCATTGACAAAGATCCACGAAGGGTACTGGTGATCCATCATAGTCATCTTCTTCCCTTCTCAAGATGACCTGGAGATACCCTAAAACATTAGAACAGCATTAATGCTTTGCTCCTGGGAGACATCCATGTTCATTTGGATATTTGTTTGTTTCCCTAATGTATAAGAATGCTTTGAGGAGGTTTAAATGATAGTTCATCTGTCACCAAAAAGAAGAGAAAATATATTGTGTAAATTGAGAAATTATATATGTAGTAGCTCAATGTAAGGCAGAAATGGGAAATTAAAGTCTGTTCTTGTATTTCTAGGAAGAGTTCTCTTCTGTGTGGATTGGTGTGAGGGATCATATTTCTTCTATTACAGCAACTCAATTCAAAGTGACTGGACCCTGCCCTGAGTCAAGATTCCAGGCCACTGAAGTTAAGTGCTGGCTGAGTTGACTAAGGATGATGCAATATCCTCTAAGTTTCCTGCAGGTTCTGGAAACTATGATCAGATATCAATAGTCACCTCTTTTATGGGTTCACATGAATGGCCTTAGGATGTGATCACAAATATTAAGCATATTTTCTAGTTAGTCTATTTTGCAGTAATATGTAATTATCATTGCTCTGATCCTATATCTCAGATAATATAGTCAGAATCAAAATGTGGCCTGGAAACAAAAAAAAAATAAATTTTCTTAGCAAAAAAAAGTGCCTATATGTGAAATCCTTTTACTTTCAAGTCAAATTGTCTGGGGAGGTTAAGAAAAGAGGAAGACATTCTATATCCTGATTCCCCAGGATCTGGGGAGGGAAAAACACAAACAAATCTATTCTGCTCTTATAAAATCCCTGATGCATCCTTTTCCTTGGAGCACTTTGCTAATCTCAACAGACATCTTGCACAGACTTTAAGCTAAGTGCTTGACTGGAGCATCCTTTTAATATTTTTACAGTTCTGATCATCATATCACTTTCTAGGTACCAAATCTTCCTTAGATTTCATTCTTACATACAGTCTATCTCTTACCCTGACACTTAAGTTTTCTTTACTTCTGCTCAGATCTATATTTACAAACTCAAAATTGAAACATTTCTTCAACGTCAGGCTCTGTGTAATGATATTTCATATCACCAAGTCTCCTTTCATCAATTCACCTCACTCAGAAGGCAATCTTCCCTGCAGGTCTAAATGTGTTCTACTCACTGCTAGGTTATCAGCACCACTCTGATCCTATTTTCCCGCTTCCCATGACTTATTCACACCTTATTTCCTTTTCTACTGCTTTGGTTCACATCATGGTACTCTTCTAGATCAGACAATCTCTTTGATAGCACATCATTGCCTGGGGTCTGTGTCATGGAGGACACATGAAAGAAAGGACAGAAGGGACAAAATATTAGGTCACAGTACTCTCCATGCTAGGCTGCCCTGTGACAGAGACATAGTATGCCTGAAAATCAACAAAGCCCCCCTTACTCATTCTGAATGTCTGGTTACATAGCCCTTGCTCTAGCTTCTCAAATCCAAGTTTTGCTTTTATATATTTTTATTCTGATAACCCACAAAAGCATTGCAGGCATCCCACACTAAGATTACTCCAGTGATGATGCTGTGGCCCAAACAGTACCTTCTCTTTCTTAGATAAATTTACAGATTATTTATCATCTGTTTGTTTAGATAGCCCTTCCCTGAATTTCTCCTCCCACATTTAAATGGTCTGTACTTTGCCAAACTATATACTTTGCCTCAGAGAAGCACTTGATGAGAACCATTTTTCTCTTTCTTTGATATATTTTTCTTCTTAGGTTTTTGAGACAAAACAACAACGGCTCTGCCCTATTTTCTTGCCTTCTCACGGGCCTCAAAAGCTTAGTATTTTATGCTCACTTCTTTGTATGATCTTTAAATGCAGCGCTGGTTTGAGAGTCTAGTCCATCTTTGCCTTTCTAGCTATAAGTCTAGGAAAATAAATCCATGTGCTAATCCACTCAGCTTTCTGCTGAATTCTAGACTCTCATGCCACTAACTATTCTCTATTGAGATGTCTAACAGGCATCTTAAGAGCAATATGGATTAAACAGGAGCACTGACTTCCTCCCATGCTCCAGAATTCCCTCCTCCCCCTTTTTTCCCCCTGCATATCCAATTAGGTACAAAAACTAAGTTAAAGTCTTATTTTTCCCTCCTCCATTGTAAGCAGATTCTAATCCACGCATAAGTACTGTTTGGCTGTACTTTAATATATAACCTGAATTTACCACCTAGAGAGCTGTCTTGCTCACTCCTCCACATGAGGAGACATTTAGAAGCATCTATAAACCAGATGGAAAATTCTCATCACACACTGGGGATGTTTTGAAGTGAAGAAGGGGCAAGGGAAGTGTCATGTGACAGCAAAGTGAAAGTGAGCAGAGATGGACTGAAGAGTCATTGTGATAGCTTTCCAATCTGTCCCATCTCTCTGCCTTCACAAAAACCCTAAGAATACCATTGCTATTCAAGCATATTGTCAGGCTGTGATTTGTACTAAAGTAAATCATAGCTAGCTTCCTAAGACTGCAGAAGATGTGATCTTAGTACTGAAGACAGGTGGATGGAATTTAATAGACAAGCATGAGCACAGTATAAACGAAAATTGTCCATAGTTAGCATGTGAGAACTGAATAAAAATAATATTGGTCATGGATTCAGCCTCCTAGGTGAGCTTGCTAAATCATGTCATGCACATCCCACTGCTTTGGGACCATCTGCAATCTCTCCCACTGCTCCAAGACAAGGCGTTCCTGCTGGCTAGTAGGGGCCCAGACTTTTCAAGAGCTTGAGAGCGCCTGAGTTGGCCTCCAGGAAAGTAACCAAGGTACATCAATAATACAAACAGAATCAAACTTACAAACAAAATCAACAAAGGAAGGCTTGAATCACAAGGAACAAAAGAAATCCACTTGACAAAATCACAAAAAAAACCTCAATAATATGAAAAGCCAAAATAATATGTCCTCACAAAATATCATCAAATCCTATAGAAGAATTGTACAGTGAAGCCCCCCCCCCCGAGGTAACTCAGGACACAACATTTATTTTTAATTATTTATTTTTAAATTATTTTTAGTTTATGTGTATGAGTGTATTGTCTGCATGTGTATAAGTGCACCATGTGGTGCAATGCCTGAGAAAATCAGAATAAGGTTCAGTTCCCCTGGAACTGGAGCTATGGACAGTTATTAGCTCCCATTTGGGTGGTGGGAATCGGACCCGGGTCCTCTGCAAGAGCAGTTGGTGCTCTTAACCACTGAGCCATCTCTCCAGCCCTAGGACACAAGCTTTGAAAGAACAATCATAAACATTATCAAATAATTCAATGAATTTAAAGAACTAACAAACAATTCAGAGAACTAAAAGAGGATAGGGATAAACCTGACTGAATTCGCAAAAGAAATAAAATTATTAAAGAAAACTGAAGTCGAAATGAAGGAAGTGAAAAACTCAATAAGCCAATTTGAAACGACAGGAGAAAGCCTCACCAATAGAATGAATGAAATGGAAAACAGAATATTGGACAATAAATTTGAAGAATTGGACCACTCAAGCAAAGAATATGAAAAATGAAAAAAAAAACTGGAATGGAATATGCAGGAAATATGGGACACCATGAAAAGACCAAATCTACACATTTTAGACATAGAGGAAGGAGAAGAGTCCCAGATAAATGGTATTGACCAGATCTTCAACAGGACTATAGAAGAGAATTTCCCCCAAATAAGGAAAGACATACCAGTACAAGATAGACACAGAACACCAAACAGACAGGACCAGAAAAACACTCCCCACAGCATATCACAGTAAAAACACTAAATGTACAGAACAAAGAGAGCTGCAATACTGAAAGCTGCAAGAGAAAAACAAGTCACATATAATGGGAAACACGTCAGAATTATAGCTAACTTTTCAAAGCAAACTATGAAAACCAGAAGAACCTGGACCAAACTCTTCTCAGTTCTAAATGACCATAGATACCAAACCAGAATATTTTGCCCAGCAGTACTCTCTATTATAGCTGAAGGGGAAAGAAAAATCTTCCATGACACAAATAGGCCAAAAGAATTCAGGTCCACCAAACCTACCCTGTAGAGAATACTCGAAGCAATACAAAGGACTGAAGAAAGGAACAACTATACCCAAGTGGCAACAGAAAGAAACTAAATGAAGGTATAATTGTGGAAACACAAAATTAGACCAAGAATGCAAACAGAAATGAAAATGATGGTGACCAGTACACATCTTCCAATAATAACTTTAAATATCAATGACCTGAACTCCCAAGTCAAAAACACAGACTAGTTGAATGGATTAAGAAATAAAATTCATCTTTTTTGTTGTCTGCAAGAAACTCATCTCATCTTCACAGATAAGTATTACCTTAAGGTGAAAGAATGAAAAAAATTCCAATAAAATGGCACTAAGAAAAGAAATAAAATTCATCTTTTTGTTGTCTGCAAGAAACTCATCTCATCTTCACAGATAAGTACTACCTTAAGGTGAAAGAATGAAAAAAATTCCAATAAAATGGCACTAAGAAATAAGCAGGGGTTCTAATATCTGACAGATTCTAATATCTGACAAAACAGACTTCAAACTAAAGCTAATCAGGAGAGATAAAGAGGGTCACTTAATTCTGATCAAAGGAGCAACTGACCAAGAAGATATTACAATTATCAACAAATATGCACCAAACACTGGTGCACCCAATTTAATAAAGACAGTACTATGGGACTTAAAGATACAGATTAACCCAATTCAGTAATAGTAGGGGACTTCAATACCCCGCTATCTCCATTAGACAGGTCAACCAGACAAAGAATAAACAGAGACATTTGAATTAAATGATATTATACATCAAATGGCCCTAACAAATATCTACCAAATAGTCCACTCATGCACCAAAGAATACACTTTCTATTCAGCAGCCCATGGAAGTTTCTCTAAAACTGACCATGTACTGGGATACAAAACAAACCTCAACAAATACAAAAAAATGACATAATTCCAGGCATTCTATCAGATTACAATGCAATAAAGCTTATAATTAACATGAA